AACCGCCATTCTTGCTAGCAAGGCTATAAGCGGTGCACATGGTGACAGTAGGAAGAGATCCGTCTTAGGTGCTCAGCGTCAAGTCCGTGGCTAGATGACCATCCATCGACGGCATGAGTATACTTCCCATAAGAATAGCCTTGTGCTGCAGGTGCAGCCCAGCGGTAGAGAAGGAGCCTAGCACGTGCCAGCCCTGGGTCCCATACCCACTGGAAGAACAGTCTTTTAAGAAAGATCATATAGGGGCTGGAGAGATGGCTCAGTGGTTAAGAGCGTTGCCTGCTCTTCCAAAGGTCCTGAGTTCAATTCCCGGCAACCACATGGTGGCTCACAACCATCTGTAATGAGGTCTGGTGCCGTCTTCTGGCTTGCAGACATACACACAGACAGAATCTTGTATACATAATAAATAAATAAATAAATATTTTTTAAAAAAAGAAAGATCATATAATAAACACACACACACACACACACACACCCTTGCATCTCCAAAAGAGTCAACTACTAATATATGTGCTTTTATTAAAATGAGATACAAATACATTAAAATAACGGGTTTGTATCAGTGAGATTATGCATACCTGTTTTTCATCTTACCAAGTGAAAATACAATTATGGACCCTGGAGGCTCCCTTGCAATTCTCCCATTTAATGAAACATCTCAATCATCCTAATTTTTACATTATTTTGTCACAATAAAATTAAACATTCTCTTCAGAAAGGACCCACTGAGATGTTCTGGATGCCCATCAATGGTTGGTACTCTTTCTCTAACATCCTCAAAACCATCCTTTTGTCCCCCAGGCTTTGGTTTAGTTCTCAAGCCTTGAATGAAAGGAAAATCTTGCATCTTTTGTCGGCTTCTGATTAGAAACCTGTGAGCTTTGCACGATTTCTTCTAGAAAAGTGAAAGCATCTATCACGGCATGTAGAGTCGCGTGGATGGGCACATATTCACTTGCACTGGGGAGGCCCGCAAAGATGCCACAATGTCACCAGTGGTACCCTCCGCTATGAGTCGGACAGGTGACGCTCATTTTCATCGTCTTCTTTTGGACTGTTTTTCTTTTCTCTAGTTAGCGCGATATTTGGAATACAAAAGCTCCACTCTGTGACCCATCGGAGTGGCAAACACAGTGCTGAGAAACTGACATTGTGAGCCTAACGTCCTGGTCACTCCAACCCCCCGCTGGGAGACGGCTGGGGGCTCACAGGCATTTAAACGTGCAATACTCCGGCCAAGGCAGTGGCACAGAGCTACAGCCCCCTCCACTACAGGAGCTGGAATACAAGGAACACTCCAAATCCGTGAGTTTGAGACCAGCCTGACCCCTATCTCAAAAAGTAAAAATAAACTGTGTCACATCCTGACAGGGAAGCTGACAATAGCATTTGGGCACCCCATCTATCCTTATCTATGTTCTCGAACAGAAGTGCAAAGATCCAATGCTGTTACCACCTTACAGGTATTGAAAGTAGTTCAAAAATGACTTTATACTGAAGGCATTCATTCATCTGAATAGGTAAGACTGACTTCAAACCCAAGGGGACTCTTAAATTCTAGTTATGTAATATTATTCTCCCAATTCTCCAGAGTGGTCTAAGATTTCATAGAGAAAAGGGATTCTGTTGTTCAGTGGTACCAATGGATATTTACAAAGTGCACTTTACCAGGAAATGAAGCCAAACGCCCCGAGTTGAACTATAAAAGTATGATGCATTAATCCTTAGGGAATGAGAACCAAGCAGAACCGGCTCATACACATTAGACAGATGATATCTAAAATAACTGTTGGCAAGGATGTGGGCAAACTGGAGCTCGGGGCACTGTTGGTGGGCATATAAAACGGTTTCATTATTGTAGTTTCTCCAAAAAACTAAAACTAGAATGAGTTATAGTGTGGTCCAGCAGTTCCACTTTTGGTATCTTCTCCCCAAAAAAGTGAAAACAGTCTTGAAGAAATATTTATACATTCATAAACACAGCAGCATTGCTCACAACATCTGAAATGTGGAGGTGTTCTGAGACAAATGGATGAGCCTTCTACTTTCAGGATTCTACATTCCTTGTAGATACCGTCATGGTCTTTTTTGGCTTGTGGGAGGGGGGGAGAAGGGAGGGACTGTAGAAAGACTGGTTTATTTCGCTTAGTATATACTAGGGTAGAACCTGGATATGGAGTTGGTTAATAGGAAGTCTCCAGTCTGGCCAAATGAAGTGTTCTAGAGACAGATGAAGGGAAAGACTGAACCGTTAGACTACACTAAACATCATTGAAAATGGTTGGTGGTTAATCCATTACAGGTATTTGACAATACAATGATGGAAAAAATGATATTCTCTGTCAGTCAGCACTGATAATTAAAAAATGAAATCAGCTGGAGAGGGCTCAGTGGGTAAAAGCACTGGTTGATCTTCCAGAGGTCCTGGATTCAGTTTTCAGCAATCACATGGTGGCTCACGATGGACCACAATTCCAGGTCTGGAAGACCCTCTGACCTCCACTTGCACCAGCACACACACCAGCACGTGTACACATGCCGGCAAAACACTTACACACATAAGTCTCTGGTGGGGGGACAGCTGCTGGAGTGGGGCATCCTGAATGGGAATCGAGGCTAGGAAAAGACCATCAGGAAAAGGAGCAAAATCCTGACAGCCTGGAACACGGCATGGGCCATCCGACAGAAGCGCCAGGGCCCACTGGAGAGGATTCTAATTTTTACAAACCTAGAATTAGTCCCAAGTCAGTTTACTTTAAAAACAGTTCAAAATGAAAGACACTACTAAGTTTTAGAATTTCTACCTAGAAGGGAGACAACACAATCCACTGAACTGATAGAGCATAATGTGTGCACAGCCGCAGTCTGTGAGTCTCCATGACCACTAACAGCCTTCCCGCCTCGTCACCTACTCGTTACAAGAGACCTCAGAATCTCGTGTCGCAGGGCTGTAATTTCAGGATGGATTCTTCCCATCTACGTCGGAAGTATCTCTTCAGGCGCATACAATGTGAATTTCTTCTGCGTGTGTGCGCACGCCGTGCTGATTTCTGGTAGCTTCTTCAATTGCTCTCCACTTTATGTACTGAGGCAGGATTTCTCACTCAACTTGGAGCTTACTTGGGGAGCCACCTTGCTCCAGGGATGTGTGACTCCAACATACTAGGATCCCAAGGTCTTCAAGTACCTGGGGATCTATATTCCAGCCCTCATACTTGCTCAACAAGCATTTATCCAACTATCTGCCGATCCATTACATCTTTGATAAACAGGCTGTAAGTCTGTGAGCGTTCTGGTTGTTTCAAGCCAATTATGAGCCCAAGTTTGTCATCTGTGGCATCAGCGCCTAAATTCTGTACAGTGTTAATGACTGGAAACACCTACGTTTCACTTATTTCCCAGCTCAGCTTCTTTCCTGTTGCAAGTTGGCTACAAACGAAACAAACAAACAAACAAAAAACTGACAGTTCAAACAGGATAGTGGAAAATACAGTACCCATTTTAATGACCTCACCCAAGAGGTAAATGACTAGGGACATTGTGTCCCCCTCCCCTCCCTCCTCTGTAATCAGTGCTCTGGTTTTGAATCCAGGTGCAGGGTGCCAGGAATCCCAGGTGCAAGCTGTGCTTCCTTTCTCCATTCACCTTTAGGGTCAACTGGCAAGCCTGCCTGACCACAGATGGAGCTCTTGGTTTCTCAGACACGACCTTAACTGGGTTTGAAGCACTTAATGCCAGGAATGGTGCACACAAGGCCGCATTATTACACTTGGGGAAAAAAAAAGCACTGCCCATCAGTAAGCAACAGCACCATCTAGTGGCCAATGGTGACATGCGCCAAAGCTTCCCAGCCCAGACAGCAAACATAAACACACCTGGTTTCCAAGACCAAACCCAGCATTTCTAATACACTGATCTTTGGAGAACCTCAGATTTTCTTGAAAAATTGTCTTGAATGCATAAACGCACGTACTTTCTCTGCTTTTCTGTGATCTTTTTCAACAGACCTCAATTTCAACAACAGGGGCTGCTCTGGGGCTGCTTGCTTCTGAATGCCCTTCCCTGGCTTGGCCGGATTAACAACAGCCCCTCAAGTGACACCAGCTAGCTGAAGAAGTCAGGTTTCCACCGCAAAAGAAGTATACTAGGGTTGCTCAGTTCCTCTGGTCACAATCTAGGGTGCTACCTGTACCTCATTTACTTCATGTCCTGAAAAAGAGAATCATAGAACACAGCACTAACACCACCAACTGTTTGTATGACCCCTCAGAGAACACGGTAACAGCGGGAGGCTGCTGGGGTGCAGCCCTTTCGCCCAGGTGTTGTTAAATGTGACTCAGTTTCTCTGTGTAAATCTGAACAGTTAATGAAAGCCTGGATAACAGTGTGACTTCCCTCACTCACACTGTCTTTGCTGTGACCACTGGGACTTTAGGCTCTGGGGTAAGCAGTCTGCTCTTCTGAATGTCCACAATGGTTACTGACCTTGCTAAAGAAGTCTCTAGCACCATCTTTGAGTTTACGGGAGGCAATCCTAGATTCTAGCATGTGTCTGTTGTGGTCTTCAGCAAACATACACGTTCTTGACAAATACTGAGCTCAGTTAAGGACTTGGGGATAAGTCATGTTCTGGAAAGGAGGCCTATGAGGAAGAGGAAGAAGCTGAATTTAGGCTGCATCCAGTCAGTCAATGCAATGGAATGCTTCAACCCTGAGGACACAAGGTAGACCGGGAGACAGAGCTGTGGGAGAGGCTGGCCAGAGCAGGCGCTTCACAACACTGCGGATGGTGCTTCCTAGAGCACTCTATCTAAATGAAGCTAGCAGGTCATTCCAAGGATGTCAAGACCGCCAGAGGTTCTCTGCAAGCTTCATGCTCCACCATGCCAAAGCTGAAGCCCGCCTTCCCTGTTTGGCCAGCACGTTTCAAATCAGGCTTCAACTGAGCATCCTGAACCCAAAGAAGAGTTTGAAAGTAACTTAAATGTGGGGCAGAGTCATCTCCAAAAACGTTTATTAGCATGATTAAAAACATTTTTTTGAATAGCAACAGAAGGAGTTTCTAAACATGAAAGAGTTATCAGTGGCTCTACCTTATAACCAATATTTGGAATTGAATGGACAGCTTTATTGCCAGTCTTCATTTATTAAAAACAATCCATTTATTGGTTCCATGACGTCATGACTATTGCTTTGTCTGGGAATGAGTCCCTACAGCAATTAAGTATAAAAAATATCTTCCATCATAATTGGAGAGTGACCTGCATTTGGAGCGTGACTCTGAGTAAAGACTTGATTAAAAATACACAAAGAGTTGGGTTTTTGTTTTTAAAAACACTCCTTTACACACTACAAAGAAAGAATTAGTATTTTGGCTTTTAAAATTCCTCCATGATACTGAGAATGGCAGCCTCCAGGGGCAGTCCCCTCACACCACTGGACACAGCCCCTCTTCTGGGGCCTGCGCATGTCTATACTGGTCTGAGAACAAAGACAGCGTCGTCCAGCACGTAGTAGTCACTGTACATGTCGCCCTCACACAGGTACGGCAGTCTGGTGAAGGCTTCGATGGCAAAGCCGGCTTTCCTGAAGACTTCAGGCAGGCTGTTCACTTGTTCTTCCCAATTCTGTCCCTTGATTTCCAAAATTTCTGATGGTTTCTCCCACTTGCCACCTACTAGAACAAATAAAAATATCAAGTTAAATCCTTGAACAAATGATTCACTAAGAGGGAAGGGAAGGGAGTGCTAGTATTCCGGGTGCTGGACACCCTTGGTGGACACAGCCGGGAAGGAGCGACAGAATCTGCCCCGTCTGCTCTCACGCTATCTGCATCCAGATCCTACACTGATGGAGCTTCTCTTGTGGCTCAGAAAACTAGGCAGTAAATACTAATATGGGCTCAGAGATGAACTGCTTGCTAGTATTGGAAAGGAAGTTTTGGTCAGTACAAGGAACTACATATACAGAACACTTACTCAACTTCCAGTCTAGAAAGTTACCTGCATGAAAATTAAAATAGGCTCATGAGGAATTTAATTTACAGACACTCAGACTTTTCAAGAGATGCTGACCCATTCCCTAAGTCATCTGTCAAACACTTCCGAACCTATAAACATTAAGAGCCTGGGGTGTGGAAAGCAGGCAAGGTCACGCTCTCCTCCAAGCCACACCCTGACTATACAAGGACAAAACCAAGAGTGTGTTTGAATGTGGGGTGCTTTTAGAGGCTATGGTGATACGCCACTGAATTCAGAGTGAAGCTTCTGATGCTAAATAGATCTGCCACCAGCAGGTGACTGGAGCACACAGGATACTGGGGAAAGACTGTATATACTTTCAGCGGCCAGCCCCTCTGAGGAATTAATCCTTTGTTGGGTGGGGTGAGGGAGCTGCTTTTCTGGCCTTCCTTGCAGCAGGGGACTGGTGCAGCACCTTGGTCTGATGCCAGGAGTGGAATGACCCAAAAGAACAGGAGGCTTTTTGCTAAGTGCAGGCACAGACACCAAGTGGCTAGGGCAGTAGACTAGTGAGTGGTGCATCGTGACGAGTGAGCAGCACTTGGTGCCCGGAGGGCGCAGCCCAGCCCAGCATCACACCAGTGTCAGTGTGACTCAGGCACCTCCTGACTCTGAGCTCACATGGCTCTCCAGGCGCCATCTCAAACCTTTTTAACAGATCTCCTTTGGCTGGATCAGTCCGAGTCAGTTCCTGAGAACTGACCTGACTGACAGGCTGAGTGTGTGTGGTGACCGTGGGGCTGTGTGTGACTCATACCCAGAACACAGACCAGGAGCACACTCAATTTGCTTGTCAACACTAAGGAGTCCAAATTAAAGCCAGGTGGACATGTTTAACAGCAGCCACACACTTCTTCACCATACTAGGATGTGTTGACCACTGGTTTTTCCCCCAAGCCTACAGGAAACATGACCTATGGCTGCTCAGGTTTAGCAATTTCTGCCCTGAGAGGCTTTCCACACATGACCACAGCAGCAACAAGAGCACTCATGAGAATCACATGACTTCCTGAGACATGGCTAGGTATAAAGCGAACCTCCACACAGAATGTTAAACGCCTATGAAAATTTCTAAAATATACACGTTTAGAAAAACACTCTCAACCAAAATCTCAACTTTATTTTATTTTTTTTTAAAGGGCTCAAAGACCTTTAATTATGGTTAGAATCCACATATGAGTGAATACAAACCATATTCCTCTTTTTGGGTCTGGGTTACCTCACGCAGTAAAGCATTTTCTATGTCCATCCATTTGCATGCAAAATTCAAGATGTCATTGTTTTTTACCGCTGAGTAAAACTCTAGTGTATATATGTTCCACACCTTCTTTAACCATTCTTCTATTGAGGGGCACCTAGGTTGTTTCCATGTTCTGGCTATTACAAATAGTGCTGCTATGAACATAGTTGAACAAATGCTTTTGTGGTATGATAAGGCATCTCTTGGGTATATTCCCAAGAGAGGAATTGCTGGGTCTTGAGGGAGGTTGACTCCCAGTTTCCTGAGGAACCACCACACTGAGTTCCACAGTGGCTACACAAGTTTGCATTCCCACCAACAATGGATGAGAGTTCCCCTCTCTCCACATCCTCTCCAGCATAAGCTATCATTGGTGTTTTTGACTTTAGCTAATTTGACCGGTGTAAAATGGTATCTCAAAGTTGTCTTGATTTGCATTTCCCTGATCGCTAAGGATGTCGAGCATGACCTTAAGTGTCTTTTGGCCATTCGAAGTTCTTCTGTTGAGAATTCTCTGTTCAGATCAGCACCCCATTTTTTAATTGGGTTAATTAGAGTTTTAGTGTCTAGTTTCTTGAGTTCTTTATATATTTTGGAGATCAGGCCTTTGTCTGATGAGGGGTTGGTGAAGATCTTCTCCCAGTCCGAAGGTAGCCTTTTTGTCTTACTGACGGTGTCCTTTGCTTTACAGAAGCTTCTCAGTTTCAGGAGGTCCCATTTATTCATTGATTCTCTTATTGTCTGTGCTACTGGGGTTCTACCTAGGAAGTGGTCTCCTGTGCCTATGTCTTGTAGACTACTTCCCAAAATCTCAACTTTAAATGGTGAAACTTGTTAGAAACCATGTTTACACAATTTCTAAAAGTTCCTGCTTGTGCTTCCTCTTTACTTCTTCCTTTCTGAAAAAGGAGGAAAAGGAAGCATCCTCTTGAGTACATGCCCAGCACACGCAGAGTGATGGGCCCTGTGAGTACAAGCAAGGTCGGCCTCCCGCTGGAAATCAGCCTGATCCTATTTCATGTCGGTAAGGGGGGTTTTTTCTCTTCTCGATTTCATTTAGATGAATTGCTGCTTCCTGACTAATAAATGTATACTTAAGCTCTTGCCAAATAATTTAAAATGTATAGTGCTACAGTAAGGTGGTGGGTTTCTTCTTTCCCACAGCTGAAGGAAGGTTTCCTGCTAGTCTTGACAGGATCTGCTCAGCACCACATGTGCTAACGAGTCAATTCCCACACGGGCAAGCTTGCTCTGGACTAGAGCACACTGCACAAGAATTGCCTAGTATCCCATAGGACAGTGTTTCTAACGGCTGAAAAGAATTTTAAAGCTACTGTAACCTGTTCTAGAAAAGTCATCCCATAATATAACTAATCTCCAAATTCTGCCTGTACCTGTTCTAGCTTTAAAAAAGTTATTTCTTTCATCATAGTTATAAATAATCTCAGATTTACCCATAAAATTTAGACTGCAAGGAAAGAAATGGAGCAGAAGTTCTTGAAATTAGTATGTTTTCCTCATCTGTAAAGAAATACAGGGTATGTCTACCATCCAGCAGTGAGCCACTTGCCCAGCATATGCAAGGCTCTGGGTTCACACACAAGAAAAGGAAAGCAGGCTACAGGGAGGGGAAGAGAATGGATGATACTAGAATGTTAACTAGTTTTTCTGGTTAAGGAACCACGGTGATCTCTTACACGGCTCTACTGTCTGCGATGAGTTATACATTACTTTTACACACTATTTTAGTTGGTTAAAGAAAAGCCTTACCTCTCCAGCTGTACTATGAAATGCTTGCAGATACAGTAACAAAGGGGTACAAGGACGAGACAGTAAGGAGAGATGAAACAAGACTGAGGGAAAGCCAGGCAACGGTGGGTCTGCTGTGCTAGGGACCTACTTTGCATCCTTGACATTCTCCACAATAATAAAATGTTGGGATGGGTGGTAGTGGCACATGCTTTTAGTCCCAGCACTCAGGAGGCAGAGGCAGAGGCAGAGACAGGGGCAGGTGATCTCTGAGTTTGACTGAAGCTAGTCTGGTCTAATGCGCAAGTTCCAGAACAGCCAGAGCTATACAATCTTGTCTTGAAAAGTCTATGTCTTGAAAAGCCATAATAACAATAATTAATAATAATAATAAATGTTGGTGCTAGAGAGATAACTCAGTAAAGTGCTTGTTGTACCTACATGTGGTTTCTAGAACCCATGTAAAAAGGTCAGGCCTGGTGGCACCCACTTACGATATCAGTGATGGGAAGGCAGAGCTGGGCAGACTCCCCAGGGCTCACTAGACAGCCCAGTCTACTCAACCACTGAGACCATCTGGAAAAACAAAAGTAAACAGCTCCCAAGAACACAACTGAGGTTATCCTCCGGCCTCCACATGCACCTCAACACTCATGCATGCATGCCCACACACACAAGTACACACACTTGAACAGGCAGACGTACATAAGCACAAACAAAATAAGTTTACAGTATTCCTTAGTTCTCAAAAAGTAGTAAGGTGATTTTATTTCCTCCCAAGATAAATTTTCAACATTTTCAGTGGAAACTGATTTAAAAAACAAAGCAAAACTATAAAACCTAAGAATTCCTAAAAGAAAAACTTCACAGGAGAGGGCTTTGGTGAGACACTATCCAGAATTCTTGTTTTGGCTAACATTGCTCAACTGGAGGGGGAGGAACAGCAATGCCCCCTCCGTTGGCCTGTCTCGTGATTTCTTCCACCCTGAGGCTGAGATAGGAAACTCCTAAGTTGTAAGTATTTTTTACTGGGTTAGAGGTTGGCTCTACTTTTAAACTCTTTACCCGAAAGTCATCTGAGACTGGGGCTCTGTCTGCAGTGTTGGAACCTGACAGGACTGATCCATTTCAAATCTGCATGTAGAGGACTTCTAAGGTGACTGTCCCTGGACTGAGGGAGGGGCTGAGTCAACAGGCGCAGATGAGCCCACTGCCCCGGGCACACAAGAAGCCAGGAGGTACTCCCAGCTGACCAACTCCTCTCAGCAAGTCTCACAGAGCCTCAGCTTCCATCAACGTACACACAGCTCAGAGTGAAATGTGAGCACAGCCTCTCACAAACGCTGGGACTAACTTCCCTGCCTTCTGCTGCTCTGGGTGGGAACCTGCAGGACAAAATGTTAAAAAGAGCCCCAGCCCCTAAGTCAGCAGCTCTCAACCTGTGGGTTGAACACTTTTGGGGAAGTCAAATATCAGATATTTACATTATGATTCAAAACAGCAACAAAATTCTAGTTATAAAGTGGCAATGAAATAATTTCATGATTAGAGGCCACCACAACAGGAGGAACTGAATTAAAGAGTCCCAGCCTTAGGAAGATTGGGAACCACTGCTAAATAAATATAAGCATCAGAGGACTTGGACTGACCCCCGCCCCCATTCTTAGG